GTTAGAAACAGCAGGGTGGGTAAAAGCAGCTTCGGCTTCAGTGTACACCTAGAGGTTTTTAATTGTGTTATTTATAGAATAAAATATTTTGACAGGTGCTTTGAAAAAGCTCTGAGTGGACGCTCAGGTGCACTCCTCTTGCTGGGAGTCGGCCTGCAGCTCTGCAGTGCGGTGGCAGAGGCGGGCCATCCGTCTCCATAGCGATCCTCCTGTGGCACTGAGGAAAGGGCCCATTAGAGCGAAGGAGATTGGGGTCACCGGGCCACTGATGGGACTCTCTTCAGGGATCAGCGTTTATGCTTTTCTGAATTCCCATCACGGAGCTCTTGGCCAGAGTCAGCCAGCAGCGAGATTTACCTCGCAGGCCTGGAACCGAGGCCAAACGGCGTATGAAATATTAACCAAGGGCAGCGTAGCACTTTGTCACGACTTGCAGTTTTGATATTAACTGTCTTTTTGGGAATTCGGCTCATTCTGTGTGTGTAACACTTCCACGTCTGTCACTGTGCATTTTCCCAAGCCATACTCGGTTGGCTCCAGGAGGGGACCCAGGATTTAATTCACGACAGCTCATGGCTGCGGGCTTGCGACGAGCCGCAGGCGGGTCTGAGGCGGCGTCTCCAGCAGACCTTCGGCGCAGGCCCTCGCTGTCGGTGGTCCCTTCCGGTTTGTTTGAGAGGCCTGTTCTGCCTGAACTCTTCTCAGGAGGAGGTTGCGCACTGTGACGCACTTGGCCTGGTCTTGGGGGGCGCAGCTGGTGTTAAATCTCACGCTGGAAAACGGGGTCCAGCAGAAGGGCTGAGGCTGCCTGAGCCCCGGCGGAGGAGGGACGTTGGAAGGCAGGACACGGTGCTTCTGTCTGCCCTGCCCAGAGGGAGACAGTCACCCCTGTGGGAGTCGGTGGGGTTCCCCCCAAGACCTCCGGAGAGCAGGGCAGGTCACCCCACTGGGGCTCCCCCACAGCCGCCCGAACTTGGTCATTGTTCAGGATAGAAATCACAGATCTGGGAAACGTCTTCGTGCATTTCTATTGTAACACAGAGGTGGTGGAAGTCCTGTCCACACCCCCGTCAGGACTTTGTTTCTCCTCAGAGGGTCCAAACCTGCCAGCTTGGCCTTCGCGGCCCCCCGGTGCTAGGAGGCCCTTCTTGTCAGGGTGGTCTCCCCTCAGCCACGCGCCTCCTCCCACCCGCTGAAGACAGGGCTCTTTGCTCTCTCCCCAGGCTTCATAGCTCTCTTTTGGCAACTCGAATTCTTCCCTCATGGAACCTGCCTCCCCCTCCCCCTCTGGAACAATCTCTCCTCCCCAAGCTCCCCTAGTGCATGTTGGCTTCTTTCTTGCTATAATCTCCTCCCCTTCATTTAATGGTAACCTTCTGGGAAGCAGGGCTTTGCCTCGCTCCTTTCTGCACTTTCCCACGACGTGATAGACAATAAATAGAGTCTCAAGACATTTAGGTAATCGCAGAATCGGAAACGGGTTGTCAGGGACAGAGGTGATACCAGCTGGGTGTTCAGAGTGCCCTGGGAGTGGGAGAACATCTGTAGCCTTTCCCATATTTATATCAGATTGAAATGTGCCTATTAAATAATAATAATAGTAATAATAATGAGTAAACATCGTGGTTTAGTACTTAAGAGGAGTTTTGTTTAAGTTGGAAGCTTGCCCTGTATTTTATTACTATCTAAGCTTCAGCAGGATATTTACTTCTCTAGATTTCAGTTTTCTTGACTGTAGAGATAACAACATGTATTTCAGTGAACATAAAATGCACCACTATTATTTTACATACTACTAAGAAAAAAGTTGCTATCTATTAAACGATGGTCAGTGCTTTCTGTGGCTTAGACTTTCTGTTTTATACTTGTTGAAATAGTTCTTTTAGATGCCTTTGGGCTGTTTTAAAAAGCACATGTCGCTCTTTGAAAAGGAAAATGTAAAGAAAACGGATGGGTTGAAGTTTTTCTAAAATGTCCTCATATTCAGAGTCTGAGCTCTGAAACATGTTTCGGCTCCAAATAGCCGAGGCCCCTGTTGTTCCACGTGACCATCCTTTGAATCCGTGAAGCTGTCGGTGGTGCCAGCTGTTTCTCCTCCAAGACTAAAGTGCTCTTTCCTGGGGAATTTTCTGCCAAGGCCCTTACACTGTTCTTCAGGTTTTAGATGCACGGGTTTTTGCGATCTTACAAGCCCATGCCAGCAGAAGGGTTTCAGCAGCACCCAGGACTGAAATGGCCCTTAAATGGTGTGGACAGTCAGCCAGGCCACCAAGAATAACAGTCACATAATAACAAGTTTGTTCAGACTACCCCCTGGCTAACAGTGATTGTTAGACACGTCCCCAGATCAGAGATGTTACCGTGTTTCAAACAAGCACATCTTAGAATAGTGTGAGGCACTACCTCCCTCCCAGGGTCGTAGCGAGATTTTAAGGAGAAAAGGTGTGTGTAGCTCCTATGGGGACCACGGCTATAATAAACTCCCATGGAGCTCTCATGAGTGTGATATATTTATTAGTTTATGCTAAAGTTTTCATATTTCAAATTTCCCCAATATACAGCATGACACAAAAGGAGGTTTACATTTGCGAATACCCAAAACACAGCATTTATTGTTGTACTGTTATTTATATCATTTTCCATATAAACAGCTGTAAACCTACTTTTGCGCAACCCTGTGTTTTTCCTTTTTTATTGAGGTAATGACCATATCCAGTGGAATGTGCAGGTCTTGAGTGTCTAGTTCTATGAATTTTGAACGTGTGGTATCAGCAACCCTATCAAGGTATTTTCTTCACCCCAGAAACATCACCCTGTGCTCCTTCCCAGCGGTCACAAGGCCCCCCACCCCTTCCCCAGACAGCTCTGTTCCGGCCACTTTTCCCATGGATGAGTGTTGCCTGTTCTAGAACCTATAGCAGTGGAATCATGTGGTGTGCATTCTTTTGTGTGTTTTCTTTTTCTAGATATTTCCACGTTACCATGTGTCTGAAGAGTTGGCACCTTTCTCTTGCCGAACACTCTTCCACCGTGTGGACACTTCACTGTTGGTGCATGTTCTCGTCTTGATGGACACGTGGGTTGTTGCCAGTTTGGGGCTGTCATGAGTAAAGCCACTATGAACATCCGGGCACATTTTTGATTGTGTTTTCATTTCTCATGGGTAAATACTGAGACGTGGAATTGATGGATTGAAGGATAGGTGCCTATGTTTAACTTCACGAGAAACTGGTTGCACCATTTTACACTCCCGGGGTGACTGAAAGTTCTGAGTGCTCCACATCCTTGCCAAGTAGAGTTTCAGTCTAGTGCATGTGAGCCATTCAAATGGTTTTGTCGTGGATTCTCTATAGCTTTAATTAGCATTGTTCTGGTGACAACTGGTCAATGACACTTTTTCATATGCTTGTCAGCCATTTGTATATCTCGCTTTGTAAAGTGCCTGTTAAATCTTTTGCCCACTTTCCAAAAGGGTTGTGTTTCAGTTATTGAGTGTAGGATTCTAGTCCTTTGTCACTTATATGTATTGTGGGTATTTTCTCCCAGTCTGAGGCTTCCTTATTCATTTTCTTAATGGCATTTAGTTTTGATGAGTAGAGGTGTTTAAATTTAGATGAAGTCCATTTATCCATTTTTTTCTTTTATAGTTAATGTTTTCTGTGTCTTATCCAAAATTTTCGCCTACTCCCAAATCAAAGAAAGATTCCCTTATATTTTCTTCTAGAAGCTTTATAGTTTTTGCTTCTATAGTTAGGTCTGTGATTCATCTCTAATTACATTTTGTGTATAGTTTGAGGTGTAGGTCAAGGTTAATGTTTCCCCCATTGAAGTAGCTGAGGTTCCAGTATCATTTGTTGAAAATACGCTCTTTTCCTCATTGACTTGCTGGGGCACTTCGGTTGAAAATCAGTTGACTGTGTGAGCGAGGTCTGCGTCTGGACTGCCTCTCCCTTTCTGTTGACCTGGTTGTCTATTTATTCCTATGCCAGTGCCATTCTGTCCTGATGTGCGGTAGCTTCAGTGTTAGTTCACATTCAAATAGTGAATGTCTTCTTATTCTGCTCTACCTTTCGAGAATTGTTTTGGGCTAACTAGGTGTTTGCATTTTCTTTCACATTTTAGTATAAGCTTGGCAATTTCTACCAAAGACCCACATGAGATTTTGATTAGAATTACATTGAATCAATCGATCCATTTGAGGAAAATGGAAATCTGAATTCAGTTTTTCAATGTATGCATATATAGTATATCTTTCTCATTATTTGTTTTTTTTAATTTCTCTCAAGTTTTAAAATGGTTTTCTGTGTAGACATCTTACACACGTATCTTTAAATTTTATCCACAGGTATTTTGATGTTTAAAATATTTCATATATGATATGTAAAAAAAATTCATCTTCCAATTGTTTGCTGCCCATACTTACACATACAAATTGATTTTTGTATATTGACTTTGTATCCTTCAACTTTGCTAAATTTGTTGTGCCATATACTTGCTCAGTGCTTTGCAGAGTTGCATAGTTACTCTTGCAGTCACTTAGGAAGCAGGCGCACTCACGTTTTGTAAGAAGTTTGCCGGAAATGACATATGGTGCATTCTCTGCTCAAGGTCATTCGGCGCGCCACTCAGAGTAACAGGGGGCTAGGATTTGAATTTACGTCTCTCCTGGATGCCAGGCCCAGGCCCTTTCCATCTGACATCATATTTCACCTCTTTGGCACTTGCTATTTGAACGTCCTGATACCACGGGGCTTGTCTGGCATGAATTGGCCGTTGGAAGCCTCAAAACAGACCTCCCAAGAATAGGGCGGTAAAGAGACTGGTGGATGTCCAGCTCAAGGGGGATGGTCGGAGTCCTTCTAGCTTCCTCCACAGAGGCCTGTCTGTTGCAAAGTTCTCCCCCTTTACCCACCGTTAGTGCTCGTTACTGTTGCTGAACCTTCTTCGTGTGTGGATGCTGTAAACTCGTTTTCCCTCCTTCTCTCCGCATCGCGTTGCAGGCCACCATTTCGGAACAGCTAAGGAGCTCACGGAGGAGATCAGGTCCTTGACCTCTGAGAGGGAAGGTCTGGAGGGGCTGCTCCACAAGCTGTCGCTGCTGAGCTCCAGGAACGTCCGGAAGCTGGGGAGCGTTCGGGAAGATTACAGCCGGCTGCGAAGGGACCTGGACCATGGGAAAACAGCCCACGGTAAGAAGTCCCAAGTGTTGCCTGGTGACGTATGTATGAGATTTATTGTGTGGAGTGGCCAGGCAGGTCACTCTGGGCTTCACGTGGACATCACTGTGCAGGGCGGCCTGGGCCACACCGCACTTCTCTTGGACGGTTTTCTTTTTTTGGCAGAAGCCTTGGCTGATGGGGTAGAATTTCTTGGCAGCTTTTGTTGTGCATCACATGTGACGTCCTTTGTCCTTTTTTCCTTTTTCTGTCTTCTTCCCCCTCCTCTCCCTGGATTTGCTAATGGCCTTGTGATTGTTTGGAGCAGTCTCTCCCTTGGCACGGGCCTTGAGAGTTCTCTCTGTTTGACAGTTATCTTCCTTTTGTTCCTTGGCTCTGTTTTCTGGCACGAACAGTCACAGACGAAAGCAGGCTGATGCTGAGAGAACCGAGAAAAGACCGTGAAGCGCTCTTCCCTGGGGGAGCTTTGCTGGGAGCCTCTTTCCCAGGAGGATGTGGGAGACGCCAGGGCGGCCTCAGCCAAGGCAGCTGCTCGTGGGGGGTTCATGTCCTCCTGTTCTCCCCCCGCTCCCATTATTAACATCGACCCAGGGCATCTTGAGGTTTGCTCCCTGAGGGATGGTCTCAGAAGACGCCAGTTCAGTCCAAATTGATTAAGTGAAAAACTTACGTCTTAAAAAAAAAAGGAAAGAATTTATGATGATTTGGTTTCTAATATGCCGAATGAAATCATAAGAAGCAAATCCAGATTTAAAATATATTAGATGTTAGCATCTGTTTCTTTACCAGCAAAATGAGAAGAATAATATCTACCATGTAGTTTGAAAAGGTGGTATAGATTAAATGAGGGAACTTACAAAGGGTGTGTGTGTATGTAGGTACATGCCCTTGTATTTTCCCTGGGAACTCCAGGTTCCTGGAGGGCAGAGGTTACACGCAGCATATCAGGGTCCCTGCATAAATGTTGTTTGTCAGGAAAATGAAAGACACACATACCAATAGCGACTATATTTACAAAGTAGGCTTATTGCAAAAGAAGTAAGAAAAGGTGGGGGATATTAGGTAGCTAGATTTGAAATCAGCCAGCAGAAATTAGGTGTGTCATTTAACTAGGAAGCAAATTCTTCTGAAAGGCTTGCCAAATTTTATAGAGGCTTCTTTGCAGAGTTAGGGCGCTCATTGTTACCTTGTCTTTTTAGCGATGGGCACCCTTATGTTGGCTCCGAGAGCTTCTTTTTTAAAAAAATTTTTCTCTTTCTCCCCAGCCTTGTTTTTGTCAAATGTGTAACGAGAGACTGTGCATTTGAGCCTTGGTCTATAACTACAGTACTGAGGAGGAGCAGCACACTCCCCCAAGATGACCTATGGTCTAAGAGACCATAGGAAGGAGCATTGTATATTTTTAATACATTTTTGCTACCAACTTTTAAAAATTGGATAAACAAGGAAAATGATGAAATTTCACATATCTTCACCATACAAATTTTGGCACAAAATGAAGAATATACTCTAAGAATAAAGAAGATGTGAACCAATTTAGACAAATGGAATACAGCAACATTTTCATTTGAACAGTTGGGCTCTCGAAAGCCATTACTGTCTCTCTTTTTAAATTAAAAAGAGCCGCACCGTATTGTTTGAGTCTCGTCATTGTCACTTCGCTAACTATTTTGAAAATGATGAATAAAACATAAATAAACGGACGGAACGAGGGGTTGTTAGCATGGAGGCCTCTAAATTGCAGAAGGCTCTGCACTGTGGTGAAGGCGTTCTGGGTCTTGTGCTTGGATTCTGCTGGATCAGCTACCCTTTCCCCACGCTTTTGCCTGGAGGTAATTTTTAAGCAGTCAGAGGGGGCTTGGCTGGGGCTGAACCAAATGAATATCCTTGGCGTGGTGAGAGTGGGCGAGGGGGCAAATAAATAAGTAAATAATGAATTCCTTCGTTAGGTAAAGCTTTTATCTCTTGAAAGACAGTAAAACTAGGCCAACGTCTGTACGCTGTTCTTTGTTGGGTTTTGAGAGTTGAACATTCTGAGAGTGCTCTCAAGTCTAACCAAGTTGAGCAAATACAAAGGACTAGGAGGCATAGGCGTTTGTATACCACGAGTGGACTCCTTTTAATCTCACACAAAACCTTTTGAAATAAGGCTGTTTAGGAAACGAGCTCTGTGTCGTCGGGCTTAACAACAGACTTTGGTGTCCAGCAATGGCTGTAGAACGCAGCTTTCGGGAGGAAGGGGGAGCTCAGGGTGGATGAGTGACTCCAGGAAGACCAGGGCCCCCGGCTCTCCTGTTTTGCCCGTCTGTGCCCCTCCGCGTGTGACGTTTGGGCTGAGATGGCTGACCCCGCCTCACGGATGCCCAGGCCCAGCCAGGGGTTCTGTTTCTACAGCAGGTGGCGCAGCCCAGTCTCAGGGAGTTTGCAGGGTTCCTCGGGTACCAGGGAGCCGCCTCGTGACGGGAAGTGTGCCTGGGATGCTTGCTCATCACGGTGGACTTGCTTTGGATCACTGACAGTACCCTGTACCTTGTGTCTCTGGCTAGATTGTTCTGTATTTTCCTATGAAAAATGCATGCTTTTTTTGCCCAAATTTTTGAGGGAAAAATAAGGATGCGCATTATACATCGGTATAATGATTACATACCATGGGTGTAAGAATGGGTATACCAACCCTGTGTATAATGCGCACAAAAACGTGGGTGCACGTCGCACACGGCAAAGTGCGGGAAGTCCGTTGAGGGCAGAGCGCGTTTCTCATGTTTCACTGGTGTCACTGTGGTGTCCATCATGGTGTCCTTAGAAATGGTAAATATACCATAAACATTTGTTTGTTTCCGGGGACCGGATATTCTTTTTATTTTTAATTACAGACCCATTCCTTGGATCTTCTTTTTTAAAAAATTCAAAAATTTATTTTCCAATTTAATGAGAGCAGCGATAAGCTTGATAGTCTTTCACGGAAGGCGCTTGAGCTGTCTGAGGCGGGACATTCCGAGTGGGGTGTCAGTAGGTAGAACAGGGTGATGAAAGGGACTGAAATAGGCCGAAGTGCTCGTGGGCAAAGGGACCCAGAGATCGGCACTGGATCCGTCAGCTTCTGTCACAGCAAGGCCCGTCGTTGTGAAGCAGAGAGAAAGGGTTCTGCTTTAATCCGTATCAGCTGTTTCTTGAGACGTCGGGAGGACATGTTTGAACTCTGAGCAATTTTAAGTGCAGTGAAATAAAATCAAAAGCCCAATCTATCTTTCAACCCTTGAATGCATATGGAAATTCACTGTAAACCTTTAATTATTGTGGATTTCAACTTTTTTTTTTTAAGGGAAACTTTTTTGCTTCATCTGCTTTGCAGAAAAAAGGCAGCTCTGAGATTGACCCGATTTCCATCCCTTGCAGGTAACCTGTATTGTACTTTACTAATGTTGTTGATTTTGCACTGGAACTCAGATATAAAGGAAGCAGACATCAAGGGGAGAGATTTAATCACAGAATAATCAGGGCTAGAATTTTAAATAGGACATCATTAGCATGTTAATGCATTTCCCCACTTTCTGCCTCCTGCCCTCCAAGAAAAATACTATGGATGTAGCTCAAAAACCTGACTGGGTCTGTGACCCAGTGAACTGCCAGGAACCCAGCAGAAGATGCTTAAAAGATGTTAAAGGATTGTTGGTGAAAATATCAAAGAGCAGGGTTCCATTTTTTCTGGGAGCGATGGCTGGCTGTGTCCAGCTTAAACTCATTTGCTTCCCAGGGAGTGAGGAGGAAGTGGCAGGCAGTCCAGGAGTAATCAAGCTGGAGAGGAGTCCACTTGTGAGTTAGGGTTTAGGGCCGGTAGCTACCTCTTGCTTTAGGTTAGAAGGGCCGTATGTCCACGCTGACACAATCCTGCTCTTGTTTTTGGACGACTTGGTAATTTTTGAGCTTTCAATAGCTAGTAGAAGTAAGTGTGATGCCCTCCAGTGTGAGATATTAGCGTCTTTAGCTCTGAATTCCACGAGTGAAGCTTCTTTCAGAAGCCACCTCACACCTAGTTAGAAAAGGCTTTCAGTTGAGAGATTGTGTGTTTCAAGTTTCACATATCTAGGAACTGATTCTCTTTCCACATTTACCAGGTGTATTTAAAAGTGATTTCCAAGAAAATTAGACCAGAAGAATAAAACTTGTGTGTCTTTTTTTTTGTGGGTGGAAGAAATAGAGAACTGGAAAAAAATATATATATGTATATGTAAAAGATATAGCCCTGGCTGGTATGGCTCAGTGGATTGAGCACTGGCCTGCGAACCAAAGGGTCACCAGTTTGATTCCTAGCTGGGGCACATGCCTGGGTTGTGGGTCAGGTCCCCAGTAAGGGGTACACGAGAGGCAACCACACCTTGATATTTCCCTCCCTCTCTTTCTCCCTCCCTTCTCCCATCTCTCTCTCTTTATTTATTTTACAAATAAAAAACTTAAACATTGGGACAGAAGGAGGTGCTAATGACAGGTGTTAATTATGTTGGTTGAGAATATGATGTAATAATGAGCTTCCTAGAGGCCAGAACGGAGAGGCAGTTGAAGCAGCATTAGTCCTTCCTGAAAGCAGCTTAAGGCACAGGGTTTTCAGGAATTCTTAGATAGTTTTTTTTTTTTGAAAGCATACTAGAAGGTCCTCATGACTTATAACAAAGGCCAATGTACTTTTCCTGTGTCTGTTACCATCCCTCTCTGGGGGGAAAGTTGAGGGATACTTTCAAAGACAAGGTTCATGATGGATAGACTGAGACGCAAACGTCAGATCTGTGGGTATGTATCTTTTTTCCCCACACAAAACATCTGGTTTTTCAGCAGATTTTTAAAAAATTCTCACCTAAGGACATGCTTGTTAATTTTAGAGAGAAGGGAAGGGAGGGAGAGAGAGGGCGAGAAACATCGATAGGTTGCCTGTCACAGACCCACCCCACAACCTGGGCATGTGCCCTGATCAGGAATTGACCCTGTGACCTTTCGGTTTATGGGATGATGCGCCAACC